GGGCCGGGGGGGCCGCCCGCGCTGCCGCCCTGCGCACGCTGCGCCCGCCCGCCCCGGCCGGGGGTCTCTCCCCGCGGCTCCTCCTGCTCTCACACCAAGGCTCAGCTTTTCATGCCGTGCCTCGCCTGGCCTGAGCGCCGGCGGCTCTGTGCGCGCCGCGGCCCCGGCGCTAAGCGCGGCTTGCCTTTAGTCCGCAGGCGGGGAAGAGCCCCGCCGTGCCGGGGGGCAGCGTGCGCCCGGGCGCYCCGCAGGCCTCGCCAGGCCAGGGCCGGGGTCGCGGCTCCCGTGGGCGCTCCCGTCAGCCGGGATTTTCGAGGCGCATCCCGCAGCCGAGGCCGCGCAGGGAGCCGCCGTGTCCCCGGCTCGCAGACGGGAGCGGAGCCATCGGAGCCCTCGCGCTCGCCTTCCTGAAATAAATCCCAGCGGGAGCCCAGTCACATGGGGCCTGCCCTGCCGCCCAGGGAGCATGTGACCTTGGGAAGATCAATTTATCGCTCTCCCMGCTTCACAGCCCATACTCCAGGTACACATGTTCTTCTTCTGGATGCCTCCAGTCTGACAAAGAGGAATTAATTCGTTTGTCATCTACCAACCCGCTTGATTTTGTCCGGCATATTCCTGTACTTGCCAATTTTTACATTTTTCTGTTAAGTACTAAATAACAGTGGCCGAGAATGTGTAAGCACAGACAAACCTGAAATACCTGAAATGTCCGGGGTAGGTCAGGCACAGATACCTCCCTTTGGTAGCTGCTGGATAGAAAAAGAGCTTTGATTTTTTTTTTCCTCACATGCTCTTTCTTGTCATCTTCTATAGTAGCTTCCAGTTAGRGAAGGCCTGGAAAAATAATTGAAATTGCAGCTCGCTCTGTTTACAGGTGATGCGATGGAGGAATTCCTCTGTCTGCTCCTGTACGTTCCAAATTGCCATAAATAAGAAGCTGCATTTTCCAGCCCACACCAGCCTTCATGTTGGCATCTTTTTCTGCTGGCCAGCTTAAGTCTGTGCTTCTGTTTGCAGTTGCTCTAAGCAGATTTTATGAATGGCCTTTGCCAAGAATACACCATTTATCAGACAGGCTGATCAAAAGCTTCATTAATCTCCTTATCAAAACATCAAAGAGAATGCAGCAGATTTGCAATTACACCTGTACATTCGGTTCACCCATGCAAACTGTAACCAAAAAGTCAGAAACGTTTTTTTTTGTTGTTGCTAAAAATAGAAGACTTGTCTTCTTCAGGAACTGATGACTGCGGTTCTGGGCAGCTTTAGTTTCAGCTGATAAATATATATTTTTTTCTTTTTTTTCCATGCTATGCAAGGAGTGAGATTCTTAACAGGTTGGTGGAAAATAATGTGTTTCTGTTGATCTTTATTTTCTGAAAACAGGGCAGTTCTGGCATATATCTGACTTGCATTTAGACCCAACTTACCACATCAACCCAGACCGCACCAAAGTTTGCTCTTCTTCCAAAGGAGTCAATGCTTCTGACCCAGGCCCTTTTGGAGACTTTTTGTGTGATTCGCCATATCAACTTATTTTGTCAGCATTTGCATTCATGAAGGATTCTGAGCAACAAGTTTCATTCATGATTTGGACGGGGTAAATGTTCAAGTCACTCTGCACTTAAAGCTTTTAACAGCTAGATAATGACAACATTGCACAGTAATTCACAAGTTTATATTTGCACTAACACATCTGAGCTTAAAATCTCTTAAGGTCTACTCCTAAATAATCTCTTTAGAGGTCAGAATGACTGAAAAGTGGAGCATTGGGGATAGCTGCTTCATTGGGGTATTTTTTACCACATGRCTATATTGCCGTAGCTTAATTGAAGTCATGTGGGCAGTATCAGAAGTGGAAAAACAAAAGGGAAGGTCAGAGGAATTCCTGACTCTTTGGAAGGAATCATGATGGGAGATGTTGGATTTTCTAGACCTTGAGGTCATTAAATCAAGAGTGGCTACTGTTTTAGAARGGGCCATTTAATTAGACATTAGCTGTTGGGCTCTAAAAGAGGTAGCAAGGATCAAGCAATATGGCAGCTATGACTTCTGATGTTAAAATCTGTGAATCACTTTAATCTTTTTTTTTTTTTTAAAGTATAGAAGACTACAGTAATTTTTGTAGAAATTCTGTATTAGGAACTAGCAGAGAGGTTAATATAACTGTTTCTGTTTTTGTCTCCATTACTATCACTCTTAACTGCACATGCTCATGACGAAATGATTGCAGTCACTTGCTGCAATATTCGGGATGTGTGAAGTGCAGTCTTGTGAAAGACATCTTCTTCTGTGCCTGTGTCTCATGTTATTAAAAGGTCCTAATAATATTGCCTTTCTTACACAGGTGTTATCTGTAAGGCTTTTGGGTGCCCCTAGCAGGAACAGAGGAAAGAAGTGTAAATCAGAAGCATTTAATTAGCTCTGTTATTTTCTAAGAATTGATCAATGATGGCATTAATTTACSCTCATGTCATAGCCAAATTCTCCCTTGTACTATCACATAATTTTCTTACCAGTCTTTGCAGTAAATTATCCATTAATGTATCTTGGTGAATATTTTGAGAGATGATTTGCCTATTTGTGGCAAGGCTTTTTGCTGGAAAGGTTGTATGTCATTCCATTTTACTGTTCTGGGAAAAGAGTGTCAAGAAATAGGAATTTGTAAAAACATGGGGTTAAATGTAGCTTCCTGACACTCATTTTCAGTAAGTGTTGTTGGTAGAGGAAAAATGAACTTCCAAGTCTGTAGAGATGCTAAAAAACGCATCACCCAAGCTGCACAGTAGTTCAAAGTAAGACGTTGAGTTCATTTAATTAAATAAAAAGTCTTAATAGTGATAAATGTGAATCATATAATAAACATTAGGCTATTTGCAAAAAAAAGAAATGACTTCGCAGGCAGCCTTTCAGGGACTGCAATGATTTTATTGAAGAGGTCTACAGTAATATTACAGGACAAAATTGAAGTGTATTTGCAGTGTGCTTTTCTTTGGTTTACTAAGTAACTTTGCGAATAAGGTCCTCTGTTTTTTCCAGAGATAGTCCTCCTCATGTTCCAGTGAGAGAGCTCTCCACGAAGTTGGTCATCGACATYATTGGCAATATGAGCTCTACAATACGTCACTTCTTTCCAGATCTTCAGGTTTTCCCAGCATTGGGCAATCATGACTACTGGCCACAGGTAGAACAGGTTCTTAGAAATTTGTTTCTGAACCAGATCAGGAGGGTTTCTAAGCCCTCAGATAGCAAGTGTAAAACAGAAACAAGACTGAAATTTTCATAATTGCTATTCTGGACAGTGTATTCTACAATTCTCAGCTTAGCATCTCAACCGTAAATAGTTCCAGTGGAGAACACAAAGTACATCCCTCCTTGTGTTAGGTTACCCAGGTGAGTGCTGATGAGGGATGATGTGCATGTTGCCTGAGGTGTTGCAAATTTAGTGTTAATCTCTCCCGGTGTAGAACTACCAGTTCTTATCATGGGGTGTTTTTTTTTTTGTTGTTTTTTGGCGCCTGTGTAAGTTACACATTTGCCTACAAGAGCGCAGTTGAACAGAAATGGTATTTTTAGTGGCTCTATTAGTGTATGGTAAGATGCCAGGTCCACTGAAAAACTTACTGGGAATCTGCCCTTTCACATCACTGGATTTTTAATTTTTTTATCAGACCCATGGCCGAATTTTTGTAACATTCCCATACTTTCACAACTGTTATTACAATGCTTTTTCTTTTCCTTTCCTTGTTGGACATCTATTCCCAATGATGATTTACTGGATACACAGGCCATTGCAGCTTCTTTTACTTTCAGTGTTCTGCAAATATTGTTCTTGGCATAGCTCAAAAATAAACAGCTGCTGCATGTGGCCTTTAGGGTGCATTGCAAGTTGATCTAGCAGTTCACAGGACYGAGAACCAGATTCCATTACTGAATCTGAGGGGATTAGAAGGGATGTTGAGCAGGTCAACTTTTTTTGAAGTTTTGTTTTGTTTGAAACGGGTAATGAAAATTCAGTGACACTCCTTTCAAAGTCTGAAAGACTTCTAGTCCAGAATAGCTTTCTGTGTTATTCATTGGGCTTACTGTGGAATACTTGGGTAGAGTAGGTGGTGGCCTTGTTCTCTAATATATTGAAATTGGTGAGTCTAAAATCAGGGAATAGCGGAGTAGCTCCAAGTGAGGAAAGAGGAATGTGAGAAGGAAAACAAGAGCTGATTATGTTGCATATCTTGAAGCTCTAAGTGAGCAAACCGAGCTGGGAACTTAGTCTTGTGTTTTTATTCTGGTGGTAAAGCTTTTGTTGAGTGGGTTGGCAAGGGGCCAGCCTGTTTCCTTGGAAGCCACTCCTAAAATATTTTTGACTACCACCTTGGCAGAAGTTGTTTTTATTTTGTTTCTCAGGAGGCCCTAACAGATAGTGAGTAGTTCTCCTCTGGTATACAGGGTTAGAAACAATCTCCTTAGGTATACAGGAAAAAAACTCTATTCAGCAAACGTGTAGACGGAAGTAGAAATCCACATGGCATTATCCTACAGACATTTTAATGTGGCATCTTTTTCCACAAATATCAGTTTTGTTTGTGACATTAAATTCAAAAATAAAACAATGGTCAGCTGGGACAAAGAAACAGCAGGTAGGATTTTGAAGCTCAGTGGAATAAATACCTCTTTCCGCACAAAGATACACTTATATTTGATACTTTGTTTGAAATGGCAGATTTCCCCAATGCACAGAAATAAATTATTTTCTGCTTACTGAGGGCAAAAGGCCACGGGATCAAAAATTGGCCACCCATAGGTCATTTGAGGTTGCTGGATTTTTTTTTCCCCCCTCTTGATGACTTTTCCCTCTTTCTTGTGGACGTATTTTCATACCCTAGACCCCCAGTGATGTGGAGGAAGCCACACCTCCCTGTAGGCTGTCCCAGRGGAACTGTGAAGGCTCTGTGCTTACTATGCACCAAAGAATTTTATTGTTCTCTATTTTACTCTAACTTTTGCATCATAACAATGTAATCATCTTTGGTGGTTTTTCTTGCAGAGGCTGTGAAAAATGCTATTCAGGTTATTCAAGCATTGGGATGCCTTTCAGATTGTATGTTGTGACCTTGGTTTTTCTGACTAGACCTGTTTKACGTCCTCGCCCCTGCTTAAAACAAATCTCCAACTGCTGCCTAATCCAAACATTCACAGAGCACTAACTTACCKTTTAGAGCCTGGGTCCCAACCGCCCGCAGTCCATAACATGGCCTCTTAGATAAGATTAGATTTGTTAGTGAATGTTAACTCTGGCTGAGCTGGTTTGCCTGAAAGCTTTCCTAGTGACCAGTATCTGTGCCTTGCAAGCAGTAAGTGTCTGAACTGACTTGTGCTTGCGCCGCTTCTAGACAGAGACTCAGTACTTAAGCCTCTAATAAAGTAGGCTTAGTTTCAAAGACCTTAGAAAGGTTTTATGTTTAAGAAAGCATTCACAGCACTATAGTACTGCTCCTTCTGCTCCTATATTTGCCCTCTGTCCTCTTCCCTCTTCTTTTTCTTTTTTTTTTTTATCTGCGCTAAAAATCCACGCAGATATTTTAGGAAAGGTGAGGAGAGGCTGGAATCTTTCTATCAGGGTTAGATGAGAGCATGACTCTAATCACATTCTGGCACTTGGACATTGCCTGGCCTGCGTTGAAAGTGCTACAATCCCAATTAAAGCTGCTGACAGGAGAAAATATTGACAAAACTTTATTTTAAATTTTACATATGTTGTCATCAGAACTGCAGGATATCATGGAAATATTTCAGAATTTTATCAAAGGGCTTCTTAGGGCAGAAGTGAAATTTCGGGAAGCTGATACCAATCCAGCTAAAAAATAGCTGGAAAGACTTGCTTGCTGTATAAGAAACCTAGGTTCATGCCTCTCCTCCATGAAACTTTATTTTCAAAACGTAAACAGACTTGGAATATTTGGTGTTTCTACTTGTTTTGTGATTTTTTTCCTCGGTCTGTGCGTGATCTGACTTTGGCAGGTTTCGTTCTTTGCAGGATCAGCTTCCTGTAACTACYAGTGAAGTTTACAACGCTGTAGCAGATTTCTGGAAACCTTGGCTAACTGATGATGCAATCAGTACCTTCCGAAAAGGTAAAATACAGCAGTATTGTACAGTACAGCTCAGGCTTAGAGAGCTAATGTTTCTGTAGATTTGTTCCCTTTAGTTAGCAGAGTCTCATAGGATGAACCAGCACAATAGATTACCTGAAATGGTTCTCCTGAAAGAAGTTATTTATCTTTAGGAACAGCAGTGCTTATCTTCAGGGTATGTTTGTTCTCCTTTGATGCAATAATTATTACTGTTCCTCGTAGCATGTACAATGTCGTTGGYGTTGTAAAAATATATATCTAAAATACAATACCTCATAATAAAAATACTCCTTTGATCAATGCATGTGATGCACAAAAGTTAAATTTGATTATAAAAAAAGGTGAAATAGTATCTCTGAGATTTATTCTGAGCAAATCAAATATCACATATGTGTGAAAATTGTGGTAGCAAATAGTTATGGTGATTATATACTGTTAAATATGTTGTATTTGCATGCAATTTACTAAATTGAGAAAATAAGTGATACACCAATTTAAATGTTTCTTTTTTGTCTGAAAAGCTCAGCCCAATTGCAAATCCACTCAAATGTTATGGATTTGAAACTTAATCTGTGTTTTGCATCCTGAATGAGAGAGATATTTGGGGATAAGAAAAAGAAGAATTTCTTAATAGCAAAATAAAAGTCAAAGGGGCAGATCTTAAGCTGAGGACTAYGGCTATAGCTCTGTTTTCTTTATTGTTATGACTGCTGAAGTCCGTGAACTACAAAATTGCACCCATGGGAAAACTAGGTATCCCATGGAGAATTTTAGGAGCTTGGATTGATAGAAAAGCATGTTCTTTTAATTTTAGGACAGTATGAAGTTAAATAGCCTTCAAAGTACAAGGCAAAGCAAATAGTTCTCCAATAGCTCTTCGCGGAGCAACCTATTTCCGTTATTTTAAGAAAAGTGAACTTTTARCAATTGCTGTATCCCTCAGTATGGAAGTAGTGATACAGGGCACTTCTTGCTTGTGAATTGGATAGCAGTGTTTGAAAACTGTCAAATAAACAGTGAAGCAGTTGGAGGCAGGAGTGTCAACTTCTTGTACAAAAATGTTGCTGAAAACAGCTAAGGTGCTATAAATTATTATATATATAATATAATATTATTATATCATATATTAATATATTATATTTATTACTATTAGAATAAATAGATCATTTCTAACTAATCTATCTTACTCGAAGGAGTAAGTCTGGCAGTTTTGTTAGGGCTGTGCTCTCATTTTGAAGTTGTGCTTTGAAGGCTTTTTTTCAGATGCTGTTGATCTTCTTTTCACAGGTGGCTTCTACACACAGCTACTCCAATCCAATGTTAGCTCTTGGCCGCTGAGGATAATCAGTTTGAACACAAATTTATATTACAGCCCCAACAGTGTAACTGTGAATATCAGTGACCCAGCCAACCAGTTAGCCTGGCTGGAGGGAGTTCTAGAAACCTCGTCACAAAAGAAGGAGAAGGTAGGGGCCCTCAGCAGAAGGTATTAGCACTGTTTGGTGACACTCTCAGAACAGAAAAGCTGTAAAGCAAGTAAAGGAGAAAAATGTGATTGCAAGAGAAGGCTAATGTTGCCAAAGACACTGCAAAACCAAAGCTTCATGAATTGTGGAAATACTACAGGGAAGAAATAACAATACAGATGATGTATGTTAAATTTAATTAAATTATTGAATAATGTTTATCAGATTATACAGCAAAATACTGTTTTTTTTCCTACAGTGTAAAATGTGCTAGAAGACAGAGTGAGAATACGTAAGGAAATAAGGATCTTTTCTTTCTTAGAAGGGACTGCATCTTTCCACTCGTAAGCTTTGAATTAAAAATGGGCTCGCTTAGCCTGAGACAAAAACTAAAAAAAACTCAATGTTTTTATATAATTGAGTGTCAAAAATAGAAAGGAGTTTGTCAACAGTGAAACTTAGCTGCACTGCAGCCGTGGCTGTGATTTTGGTATTGTAATAAGAATCAATTACGTTATAATAGACAGTTTTTGAAGTGAAATTGTGAAGTATTGSCTCCTGTTTGATTGGTGATCGGGGGACTGGATCAGCAGCTAAATGGGAGAAGTGTTTAATTGCAAGCATATTTGCAGTTCTTGTTTTCTTTTTACTAACAAGGAGAATGGCACAATAAAGTTTAAAACATTCTGTTACAATAGCACGAAAGGAGAGACTTCCCTTCCCTGTAAAGTCTTGCGGTGAGCAGTCAGCATTTGTGGTTGGAACTCAGTTGCTGTTTCAGTCATGATTAGCTTTTTAACCAGTTTATCTGTTTCTGGTGAATGTCTGACTGCACAAGCACTATGATATTTTAATACAAGGTTTTCTTACTCTGCCTTTGAGATGCTAAATCTTTGTTCTTCCCCTGGTAGYGTATGTTTTCATTGGAAATGATGACTACAAAGTATCCATTCATCTCTSTTGTTATGACTTTAAACATGCTGCTGTTCGTATTGTGTCAACAAAACTGCAGTGATTAATAGCTTTAAGAGCGGCGTTTCAAAGGTAGCAGTCACATGGAACTGTATTAACCATTTCTAAGTTTTACCTAAAAGTGTTTTTAGTTTCAAATGAAGGTACTAATGGGCTTTCTGTATCTAATCCCATAGGTGTATGTAATAGGCCATGTACCAGTCGGATACTTGCCATATGCAAAGAACATTACAGCTCTGAGGGAATATTACAATGAAAGGCTGGTGAAGATTTTTCGCAAGTACAGCCATGTTATTGCTGGGCAGTTCTTTGGACACACGCACAGGGACAGTATCATGGTCCTCCTGGATGAAAAAGGTAATGATGCTTGCTCTTTCTTCTTGGTTAATAACAAAGCAGTATTTTCTTGCATGTTGCTACCGCTCAGCCTCTATAAATACAGTAAAAAGGAAATTGGGAACGTTACCTATAAGAGTTCAAGCCCCACACACGCACACAGTCCCAGGCTTTTTTCAGTGACCCTTGCCAGGCAGACTGTCCTTTCTGCTAAGGTCAGAAGAGACTTCCCAAGCTTCCTATTTTTTAATGACTGTTTAGGCCTAGACAAGAATTTCTGGTCTTTCCTCTTTGCTTTTTTTCAGTGACATGGRCAAATTATACTGGCCAGCTGCTATTGTGTAATGTGTCAAAGGGAATGTTCTCAGGCCAGCTAGACATGCTCTGTGTTCTTGTGTTTCCTGCATCATTACTGGGCCTCTCTGTTGAGCTCCCTGCTGCTTCAAAGTTAATTAAGATAAGGGGAAGCAGGAGGTAGGAACAAGAAAATCTCTGCCTGTTGCATCTCTTAGATCAGCTAATTTCCCTTCAGGAAAAGCACCCAGGTTCGAAAATGCTGTTTATTGCTTGAAAATCCCTTAATTTTAAGCGTGGTTATGGCTGTATGAAGATCTGTAATGGAAGATCTCTAGCAAAAATAACCAGAAATGGTTAAATATTTGTGGCCGTACAGTAGAATGGTGAGTGGTGCACTACCTTAGCTTATGTGAAGTATCTAAATATCAAATGGCTCCTTATTTCTGTTTATGGACCCATAAAAGCAGTATCTGAAATGCTCACTGGGGTAATAATGTCCTAAATCATTTACATCATTCCGTGACGTTCTCATGGAACTCATCTCCAGTAAAAAGGAAATCAATCCAAGAAAGAACTCTTTTCTTATTTTAAACATATTCAAGACAGTATACCTATAGGTTTTTGAATTATGTTCCCTGTCTCTGAAGATAGCCTGATCTTGGTGTTTTGTGGTTAGTTTATGGTGTGCAAGTAAGTATGCTCCCAATTTTTTTTKGATTTTTGGTAGCATTTAAGCAACGAGCATTCCGTGTAGCTAGCTTCCTTTTTGGGCTGTCTTCTATTCAAGTTCCCTTTCTTTTCTTGACAACATTTCAGATTATTCAAGATAAGTCTGATTCTATAGCCAGCATTCACGTGTTGAAATGCAGAGCTTCATTTGATCTCCTTCAGGAAAATCAGCTGATTTTCAAGCTTTCTTAGCTTCTGCTCATTTGTGGATAGTGACCTTGTGGTTTCTCTGCTGTGATGCTGGCAGAAATAGACTTTTGTTTGTTTGTTTCTATCACAGAGAACCTMTAAATAGACTATACGTGCATTTTTTGTCTATTAAAACCCATTTATGTCCTCATATTCCAGTTGCTTTTTGTTCAATGTTTACATAATACACCAGGCAAGTTTAGTTGTGTGAAGCTCAGGAGCAATTAATAATATTTTATTGTTTCTAATAATAACTAAAATATATAAAGCAAAAAATGCATAAAGCAATATGGAAAATAAAGCATAGAAACAGCAACTCAAAGTTTTGATTATTTATTTAGCAGAAATATGCAAAATAAAGAGACTTTACATCTAGGCAAGACTATTTTGCATTAAGGTAGTTAAAGCTGTAGGAAACTTGAGTATGGGTCGCAGTGATGTAGGTACTTTGGGGGGGAAAAATGGTTAACTACAAAGCGAATCACTCTGCTTCTTGCTGTGTTGGTTCTCCAAAAAGCATTTGTTTTAGAAAGTTAATGAAAGGAAACTGTTTCCCCACCTCCCTCTTCCTACAGAACAACCAGTGAATTCCTTGTTTGTGGCACCTGCCGTAACCCCAGTGAAGAATGTGTGGCAAACGGAGTCCAATAACCCTGGTGTCAGATTGTATCAATATAATCTTCTTGATTATAGCTTGCTGGTAAGTAAATACTTTAAAGCATTGCTTAAGGGCTAAATATTTAAATATAGCTTCTTTTGAAATTACAGCAAGATGTCAGCTTCTATAGTATTTTGGTTATTGCCAGAACTGTGGGCTTAGTTCTTATTTTTCTTTGTGGGCAAGGAAACAGAAATCTAAGAGAGAGCTCAGTCTTTGTGTGACTGCAAGACTACCACAAAATACTGTGGTGTTTTTAATAATCAAAGAAATATTCTTAAGAGGTAGAATTAAAGATAGTCTAAAAGTATCTGGACAGCATCCTAAAAGTATTTGCAGGGGGCTCTGCAAGAGTGAAAAATGTTCATGTAAATCCTGAGTTTATTTATACACCCACGTTGTTTGGTGATTTTCTGAGTTCTGGGAAGCAGTCTATGAAATGCTTCTACATGGTGTAGAAGAGCAGATGAAGAAAAGCGCTTTCAACCATGTGATGCTTTTCATAATTATGCACCAGTCTATATAGAGTTTGTGCTTTTTATAGGTGTCTGTAAATAAATCTAGAAAGAAAAATGCAAAACTACTTCTATCCTGAAAACTTGTGATTTCTTGATGTAGAGAAAGTAAATGCTGCATAGCTATTTTGGTTGTGAGTGACTCAGACCTTATCCCTGTAATTCAGGGTAAAAATTTGCTCTCGCTGCATTCAGTGACAATACATCTGGTGGCCTGGCTGGGGTGTCTGTCTGGAGAGCTGCATTAACATCCAGTGCTTCTTCCTTGCACAGTCTTCCCTCCATCTTCAGCTCTCCCCTTAGTTTCTTCCTGTCTTTGTCCATTCCTCCTTTCAAAGAGTGCCCATAGAAAAGAAAATTGGGTTTTTGCCCTTTTGCCTCATGCCTGTGCTAGACATGAGCATGATGGAGCTTGATTTAGAGTTTGGACAGAAAATAAGCCCCCAAAGCCTCTAGCCGTGCAGCTTCTGCTGCTTGTCCCTCTTTTGGCCCCTTCTCCCCATCCCCCTCCATTACTGAGCAGCAAGTAGCAGCTTTGGGTGTGAGCCCAACTCTCGGGGTGGGACATGACCTGCTATTCACTTGTGAATAACGAGGAGCGACAGCTTCTTAATCAATATATCACTCCAGAGGCTTAATGAAGCAGGAGAGAAAGCAATACAGCCCTGCCTTTTTCTTTCCTTTTCCTGCAGGATCTCTGGCAGTTTTACTTGGACCTCAGAGACGCCAACAAGAAAAAYGAATCCAACTGGAAATTAGAATATATCCTGACTAAAGCTTATGGCGTTGAAGACTTGCAGCCAGGAAGCTTGTATGAAATAGCCAAGCAGTTGTCTCTGCCGCACAGCAGGCTGTTCGAGCAGTATTACAGTAACTTCATTGTGAGCTATGACAAAACCATTGTCTGTGAAGGGGGATGCAAAGCCTGCCAGATATGTGCAATCCAGTATTTGGATTATTCTTCGTACACAGCTTGTATCAGCCGGGAAGCAGCGTGGAGATGAAGTCTCCAGTGCAGTCTGTGCTGATAGTAACTTCAGCCTGTGATTTTAGAAAACCTGCTTGTCCTCTCAAGCGCTGATGTGCTGGTCTTCGCTGAATTTCAGGGGGAAAAAAGTCTCCCTGTTTTTTTTTTTTTCCAGCTTGTAAACATATTTTCCTTCCGCATCTAAATAAAAGTTGATTGACTATGWAACACAATAATAGCCAGATATTTTGCTGTTGTTCGAGGTTCCTCTGCCCTATCAGGCATCACAGTRTGTGGGAACAGAAGTTACTCAGTTCTTTGGAAATCCAGATCTCTCTTATCACAGGATATCAAGGTAAGTGATGTAACCTGTTTCAGGCATGGGATTAAACCACATGCTGTCAACAGTTACAAAATGGAACTTGAAAAACCCAAGTGTTGACTGAAACTAGAGCACACGATGTTAATGCAATACCCGTATTATGAATCTTCCTGGCCCTATGCCATGTTTCCTTTTYACAGAATCACAGAAAGATTGAGGTTGGAAGGGACCTCTAGAGATGATCTACTCCAACCTCCCTGCTCCAGCAGGGACACCCGGAGCACGGGGCACGGGGTGGCATCGAGGTGGGTTTGGAAGATCTCCAGAGAAGGAGACTCCACAGCCTCCCTGGGCAGCCTGTRCCAGGGCTCTGGCACCCTCATAGTTAAGAAGTTCCTCCTCACATGGAGATGGAACTGCCTGTGTTTCAACTTTGCCCCTTGTCCTGTCACTGGCCACCACTGAGAAGAGTTTGGCCCCATCCTTGTCACCTCCCCTCAAGTATTTGTACATATTGATAAGATCCCCTCTCAATCTGCTCCAGGGCAAACAGGCCCAGCTCGCTTAGTCTTTCCTTATATGATTTTTTCCTTTTAAATTAAATTTTCCCATTTAACCACCTAAATCCATGTTTGTATAGGGGTATATTCTGATGAATCATTCTTAATGTGATTCATTAAGAATCACAGATGTTCATCCTGTAAATATTAATATACTTTCAGAACGTATATAACTGTCCAGCACTAAGCAGTGCTTTCTTGTAAAAGTATCTTATAAAGATACGTATCTTATAAAGATACATATGTTGGTATTAACGAATTTATATTCCTTTAATATCCTGTAATAATACTGCAGTTTTCAGTTAAGAGATTTTGCAGTAGATCACAAACCAGGTTTAAATTGGTTGACAGCTGTAATTAGATAGCTGGTACAGTTTGATTTTTSATACAATACAGGGAAACATACACTTGTACTGAGGTTTCTCAGATTTTTTTTTTTGTATCTGTTTGTCAAAGGAAAGCAAATATGTTTGCAGATAATGTAAGAGCAGTTGCGATGACAGGATAGCTGAGGTTGCTCCAGTTTTCAAATCAGTTTTGTTCAGTTGTTTTTCTTTGAAAAACTCTCCGTTTTTCCCATACTGGTTTGCTTCTGTGGCACAAACCATCGTAGAAAATGCTATAAAATTGCCAAGTTGTGTTCTCCCACTATGGAATTCTTCATTCCTTAACTTTAGGGAGAGCTGAAACGTGGCAGCTTAGTAGCGACAGAACTCCGTAGGAAAACTAGTATACTGCTGATGATACTTCTTGGGTTTCTCGGTTCCCAGATGGCCTTTTTTCCCCTCCCATGGTTCATTTTCTTTTTCTTTTTTTCAGTAGATAGTATTTAGAGAGCATGAGTGAATAAATGCCTAAACATTTTCAGAGCGTTACATTGTAAAAATCAACAAACGACCTCAACAGTTTAGATGGCATCAGGGTGTAAAGGAGAATAGAGGAAGACCAAGACACTTCTGTATCTGTCACTCTGTTGCTTCCTGCATGTTCTAGAGGTAAATTTTCTCTTCCTGACAAATATTTTTTGGAAAGAATTATAACAATTAAACACCAAAGAGGGATGTGACTTGGTAACACTTCTGACKCCAGCTAATCAGGTTGCTGTTTCCTATTTCATACAGTATTTTGTATCCCCTTCTCGAATAAAGGAGTTGTGGGAGTAGCTGTAAGGTCACGTTGGAYGGAGAGACAAAAATGACACCACCTGGTGGAGTAAAAAGTTTTTCATTCAACTAGACCTAAAGCAGAGGATGTAAAAATATGAAGTCATGAATCACCTGTGTAGCGTGTCCTTCCACGTAGCACAGTTTATCTTGGGTATTAAGTGATCCCTGACTCCTTGAGACCTGTTGCTTGTGGCCTTAAAGTGTAGAACTGAGGCTGGGTCTGGGTAGAACAGGAACCCAAGGAAGGGACTCCTGGGGATTCCTTGCACTTAGCTCCGGTGCTTGATTCCCTCCTAAAGAGGAGTGTTTGAGGCCTACATCTGCTTTGGTGGGTACTGCAGCCTAACAGGGGCTCCTCCTTAAGCAGAAGACTTGTTGTCGAGGAGCTAAGTGTCAACACTGCTGCTTTCAGTAGGGCTTGGAGAGTATTAAGTGCCCTCCTGAAGCACAGCTGCCAATGCACTTTCAGGTCAAAGGAATCCAGATCTGCACTCCAAGAATGCTCCGCAAGGTGAACTGAATCAGGATAAATGGGGATGATCAGTAAATTCAGCTTGAGGGGTGCTCCAGATCYCAATCAAAAGCCAGTGTTTGTTGCTTTAGATTGGGATGTTGAGCTGTGTCCGAATACGATCTCATCACGTACAGTCCCTTGTGACCCATTTCCTAAGTGGGCAAATCATGAATACATAGAATCTGAAAGGATGAATATCTAGTTTAAAACAGCTCCCTTTTCTAATCTCACAAGGTGCATCTATCTGATAAGGAAATCTCTTGGGCATCTCTTTCACTCACAGTCAAGAGGAACTGTGACAGCATCAGTGAAGAAAAAGACTGTAACCCTCTAAGTAAGGYGAGTGGCTTTCCAACCTCACTGTCCTGTGAGATGGAGACCAGCTTCTACCTGCTTGACACCACAGCTCTCAGCAAGAGAAGGCTGCTTTAGGTAATTCAGGCCTCTGTCACCTCTAGCCTTTTGCTCTGTCTGAGGAATATTGTACGTATGAATTCTGTCCCGTTTTGTTCTTTGCTGGTGTACTAAGAATCCTGGTGTGAAGTGAAAACTGTTCTCATGTGAATGTATGTGTGAAATATTGCAGCTGTAGAAGTTCAAAGAAAATGCATACTGAAAAGTTAACCAAAAATATGACCCCTCATACATACGTTTGGTTAGTTCCTGAGGAGTGGGGATGGCAGAGACACTGTGTTAAATGAAAGGTCCCTTCCAACCTTAACCATTCTGTGATTCTGTGAAAGTAGCCAGTGCATTACTGGACACCTTCATAGACTCATAGAATCCTTAAGGTTGGAAGGGACCTCAGAGGTCATCCAGTCCAACCCCCCGGCACATGCAGGRTCATGTAGAGCACGTGGCAGAGGGCTATGTCCAAGCAGGTTTTGAATATCTCTAGATAAGGAGACTCCACAATCTCTCTGGKCAGCCTGTTCCACTGCTCTCCATCCTCACTGTTAAGAAATTTTTCCTTAAGTTCCTGTGGWACYTTTGATGCTTCTGTTTGTGGCTGTTTCCTCTAGTTCTGTCAGTGGCCACCACTCAAAAGAGGCCCGCCACATCCTCCTCACTGCCTCCTTTGAGGTATTTCTCAAACTCAGTGACTTCCTTGATGGATTTTAAAGCAACCACTTGGAGAGGAATAATCAGCTGGAGAAATTTCATATATGGGAGGAAAAAAAATTGTTTTTCTGAAAACTTTAGAAATTAGAGTATTTTCCACTGGAATAAAAGCAATGCTTTTCTGAGGTTTTAGGCAGGGAGCTGTGCATGGGGCAGTTGTGCCTGGGCCTGCAGCACTTGCTATGCTTCTGTCTTGGTGCTGAATATGCTTGCTTCTGCTAACTGAGAAGTGAACTTTTTAAATTGAAAGTTCCACTGGAACTGTTACTTTTCTTTGAAAAAATCTGATCCTGCCACAGCACTTTCCCAGAAAACTGTTACACAAGTCCCAGGAACTTCTCCCACGTATAGAGACTGCTACCAAGCTACTCTGGATTTTTCCAGTATCGCTTTATGTCATGTAAGTACATACAACTGACTTGATAATAAAAACATGAATCAAAGGAGTGGAAATTGTGCTCCTAGGTCTTCAGATTTGATGTTTGCTCATAGCTACACATCCCTTATTCCAGATTTCGAGGATGATGGGAGACTATGAACTGAGTCTTCCAGATTTTGGTTTCTATGTTCTCTATTTGGTATCTCTATATTTACAAGATAATTTAGAAATGCCAGAGGCTGCTAAATTTTGGCAATTTCTTTAGGCTCTTTTTTGGGCATTGAACTTTCCCAAGTCTTCACTGTTCGATGTAGCAAGATCTTTCACTGGCATGCCCCTTATTTGGGGGCAGTGATAGTTGTGTTGCTYGAAATACCTGCAGAGAGACTCTTCTTCCAGCTGGGTAGGGTACTTTGGAGCTCTTGCTGCTCTGGCTTTTTTATACGCTGTAATGTGGAAAGAATTCACATTTGGACACTTCTCAAAATTGTCTTCCTTGGCTGACTTCTTTTTCCTAGTTTGCTGGTTTTTTTGAAAGAACTGAAGTTGTGGGTTTGCTGCTGTTGCTTTGTTTTGCTTTGTTCTTTAAAACAGTTGAAACCTGAAGTTGAGACTTCGGTGAAAATTCCAGCTCAGAGATCCTGATGTTGTTGCAGCTGATCGCAATGAAGTGTGCTCTTTACTGGCCCTAATTGAGACACTGCAAAGAACATTTAACTTACTCTCACAGGAGGAGATATTTGATATTGTTTTTACATCAACCTAGCTGAAACCTTCCAACATTTCTAGCAGACTTTGTTGATAACTAACAAGGTGTATTTCAGGCTGTCCTTAGCAAAGGCTCCTCATGTATGTGTTTTTTATTATTATTTTAATACTTTCAACTAGAAGTATTTATTCGGAGCTTGAAATTCCAGGCAGGCACAGGATTTTGCTTGGAATAATTGCCAGTGTACCATGAGGCCTTGTCTATAGTACTTTTTGTGTGTGTTTCTCCCCCTTCCAATTCCTGTCAAAGCAAATTTCTGCTAAACAGTGTCAAGAAACCATAGCAACTATCTTGTGACAGGTCTGAGTAGGTTTTGTTCTTTAGAGGTTCCATTAATCACTTATATTGCCCCCAGCCCACAATCCCCTCCAATGTGTTTCTGGGAATTTTACCCTGAAAAACTGTTGCTAAATATTTGTATGGCTCAAAGCAAGCCGTTTGGGAAGTGTTGTGTGTTATTCATAGTGTGTGTGGCCGCGTAAGGCCTCAGGAATGCAAGGTTTCTTAACGCTAGGAGAAAGGAGGTTTTGCTCCAGCCTCAGCAGGGCAGCGGGGCGTTTGCCGCTCCTGCAAAGGCAGCAGGGCTGGCGGAGCAGCGGGGGAGAGCAGAGCTGTTCAGTTCAGCTGTTCAGCACAGACCTGGGCCTTCAGGCTGCGCGCACTGCCACTCGAGACCCCTCGGTTGCTCAGTAGGATCCTCTGCTCCTTCCAAGCACCGAGGTCCCTGATCCCGGTAACTGAATGGTCATCACTTGTCTCCTTTTGACATCAGCCCATCTCTGTACTAAAACGATTAAATATCATAGAGTACTTGCTACTTTTTCTGCAGGATCAGTTCAAATCAAAACAATTTTTCGGTGGAGCTGATTGGCCAGGACTTGTCAACAGTTCAGTTTTGTCCCATTAGAGCTATCAAAGACTCTCTATGCATTTCTTTCATTTACGTCAGCATCAGAATTTTTGACCAAGTGGTCAGCAACCCAGTCCATAGGAGTCCATATTCTTGAATATGACAAGTTTTGCCTAGATGACAAAAGAGTTGCTTCAAATAATATGGAGAATTTAGAGTACAGAAAAATCATTAATTAGAAAATGTGAATTTGGCTCTTCCTGTATCCTGATTTTCCATATACAGAGAGGCAAACGATAAGAGCATTAGAAAATCAAGTATTTCCATACACTCTTTGCTACTTTCATATGATTGGAAACAAAGACAATTGCTGTGTGGTTAGGCAGGTAGAGGCAAAAATAYGTCTTTTCAACATGGAAGACAGATGGTCTTCAGCTCTCCCAGTGTTTTGGAGTGCACTTTGGATGGAAAATCAGCCCTCATCTTACTTAATGATTTATGTGAAAACATGTCAGTGCTTCTCAGTGCCTCAAAGGAGTGTTTTCCCACACAAATTTGCATATCTGCTTTAGTGTTTTCTTCGTGTCTTTACACCAGGCTCTGTTCTGCAGCCGCTTCTCTTCAGGGGACAAAAATAGCCTAAACAGCCTGTGTCCCATGGTAGGCCATTTACTTTGCAGATACTTTAATTCTCCTGTGATGGCCTTAACTGCCTTCAAAGCCTCTTTGCTTTGCTTTCCTGCCGAAGTGCCTTCTAAGACTATTAGTGGGAGGCTTCGTCCTTTCTTCCTGTAAGCTGGGCTGAGTTCTCTCAGTGACAGTGGAAGTGAAAATCTGTTGCTTCAGCTGCAGTTAGAAGACTGTTATATATTATCCTGCTGCTGAATTAAGTCTCATGACAGATTCTTTTGGACTCTTTCTCTGAAACCCCTCTTCTTAGATTTGTTTTCAGGGGATAATTCTTTCTAACACCTTGTGCGTGCTTAGGCTGGCGTGAGAGACCAATGTCATCTTAAATTACAGAGTCCAGCTCTGTGTGCTCCTGTTGCACGTTCAGCTTGGAGAGTGATCTCCACTCATTTCCTTTGCTTAGGCCAAAAAAAAAGCACTWTTAGTTTATACCAGCATAGGCAAGAGTGTTTAGTGTCTTTATAGAAATGTGACTTCARGAATTTTGTTTTGTTGACATGCGTGTTAGTATGTGCTCTTGAAGACACTTCCAGGAAAGCAAGGTAAGATGCCATAAGAAACATGAATTACCTGAGTGCTAAGGGGCCAGATGGCAGATCCTCAGAACTGGGTGCAACTCCAGTGTAGTCAGGACTGGGTCTGAGCCTATGCAATTTTAGGCAGGATATGGAGAAAGCAAACAGCTTTCAAGGCTTCCCAATTATCTGCTAGGGTGCAAAAAAGTCTGTGTGTGTATGTATATGTGTATAAGTGTTTCTGCCAAATATATACAAGAATATATATAATATATAAAAAATATGAACAATAAGTGCAAAATATATACAAAAACTWGAAATAGTAGTATTTCTTTAGACTTTTTTCATTATGGAGCTAGACAGGCCCTATGTATTTTAAATTCATTGCTTCATTTTGTGCCAGCTGTTGTGGTTTTCTGCGTCTGGCCTATTTTTATTTCAGGAATATCTTCATATTTTTGTCTGTCCAAAGTTAGTGGGAGTTTGTCAGTTGTTGATGTGCAAAATTATAAACCACTTGAATTTAGTGGTTAGGGAAAATATTAAAAACTTTACATATGCTATATGCAATCCATGACAAGAATCATATAAAATCACAAAGATTTATTTATCTTTTCCAATGCAGGTCTCYGGGTGCTCAGAGCCGGTAAGAATTTCTGTTTCCCTGTTAAAGATYAGTACCAACTAACTAATTGGTTTCACTCTTCTTGCTCTCACTTTCTCTATTCTGCACACATTCGTCTTCTCGTTACGAATTGCCAGCATTATGAAGAAGGCACACTCTTCATTTAGTTGGTTGTTGTAAAATATCCACTAGAATCATATAAGAAATTGTGCTGCTCCTGGCAGAAAGTACTTCCACAAACAATGTGGTCCTTTGTTTGCCAGAAGCATAGTAACAAATGGATTATGTGTAACAGCCATCTATAGTGCCTTTATTTCATCCCCATTCATCCCCTACGTGTTTTCCACTGCTTTTAATGAGCCTGTCTGAACTGTGGTAACCCCGTGGTACATTTGTAAGCAAGAGATATTAGATGAATCAACCCCTTCTAGGACTGCATTATGAGGTAATCTGCTTTCATTACAGGATTTATTTTATAGGTGGTAGACCTCAGTGAGAAGACACTGCAGGCACAGGCAGCCCTTATCTGCTCTGTAAGGCCAAGTTTGGGGTCTGCATAAATATGAAGCTGCTTTCCCACAGTCCAAACTCTATTCGTTGCATGGCTTCAAGCACAACCGTTTTTCTTTGTGCATGACCTCTCCTTTGCTCCCCTTCTGATTCAGTCTCATACTGGAATGATTGATTGTCCTTTATAAAATACTCCATAAAGAACTATTTTACTTCCACATCAGCATGAAAGCTTGGGTCCCTACATACGAAACAAATACAAAAAACAAGCACCTCACATCAAAATGAATAGCTGCTTCCTCCTGCCTTTCTAAAGTGTGAAGATTTCCTTTCTGAAACTGGAAATGTTTGTTCCCTTGGTAATACAAACCGCTGTTGGGGTGGCGATGAGGGAAGAGAAACAACCAGTCACACATTCCGATAAGTATAGAGAGATGCCTTTTGTTTGTTTGCTTGCTTCTTCTGGAGAGCTACTTTTTTTTTTTTTTTTTTTTTTTTATGATTTGTAAATGTTGCCATAAGAAAACAGGATTCATAGGTGGTAGAGGTGCTTGTTCACTTTTATGTATGGCTGATTTTGTTAGATCAAGGGAAGATTAAGAAATATCTCTTAAAGACATTACAATACTTTTTCTTCTTTTTTTTTTTTTTTTTTTTTTTTTTAACATGATTTGTAAATGTTGCCATAAGAAAACAGGATTCATAGGTGGTAGAGGTCCTATTTAAGTCTTTTGTAGTTCAGTTTGTATGACTGTAATCTGTTCTCATGAATTTTCTCTTTGTTCTGCTGCTTTTCAGTAACTATCAGAATCAAAAATACGTGGTTTTTGCATAGGAAACGTTGTTATAATAATGAAGATACTTGTAAGAACAATGAAGTATTGAAACAAAGCTCATCTTCCTCTCTGGAAACATTTTCTATATGTTGCAGGAAGTGCTTAGCTGTTAAAAATAGTAGCTCAAGCTACASTTGGCTTTATGTAAACAGGGAAGCCAGTGAACAGATTCAAGGCAGTGGAGGAGATGCAAGAGATGTCATTTCTTTGGATAACCTCCAGAAAAACACTAAAGGTTCAAGTGTTGAAGAACTCGCTGTTGTTAAGTTTTCAGATCTCATAGCTGGAAGGGTGGCTTTGGCAAGGAAATGTTGGCAGTAAACTCAGGTCAGACTATGAATTGCTTAATCTTAACAAGATGCTTAAAAGCAGAGTGTTGCAAGTAACAGCTTAAACCAATTGTAGTCATTATTAGCTAGCAAAAGTTACTAGCAAAGCCCTGAAGTTAAAAAGTATGTGGAAAATAAAGGGAGAAGTCTTACAAGATAGCTTGGAAATAGGAAAATTAGGTCTATAAYTAATATATATATTATTTTCTCTTTCAAATCAATTCCAAACATTCCCGTTCCCAATTCCGTTTTGGGAAAAATTTACATTGGTGGGGGTCACAGGAAACRAAGCATTCTCCTATTGTTATTGTTATTGTTATTCAGTATTTAATAGAAAAATCCTGTCCATTTTCCAAATATTTTTAAAATGTGCTTTTACTAGTGCAGTTAGAGTCCCTTTACTGTATACATTCTCTTSCTTTCATACATTCACATGTTTGCAAGTAGGAGCTATAACTAGGTAAAAGGGGACAGACATTGAAAGTACTAGTGGATGGATGGGCTTGCTCTAGATAATAATATCTCAATTTTGGCTTTCTTTTCCCATCAGCCTTCAAATGCCAATACTTGGAAATGAGACTGAGCTGCCCAGAAGGCAACTGCTGAAATCCTGAAGCATTACACCTTATGTACATGGAGTGTCACATGATCCRTGGAAATAAGCAGTATCTGAATATTCTTGAGAAATGGACTGTAAAAGAAGAATATAAATATATTTTGGAAGCACTTATAAAGGCTGATGAAAACCTTGGGGGAAGGTTTTTATAATTAATATTTGTGTTTCTGGGTGATAAGCATGGGAGCACTTGCTAGTGCTTTTCTGTTTGTTTACTGTTACTATACTTTGACTCTACACTTTCATTAGTATGAAGGCATYCAGATCAAGCATCTGGGTACTGATTTCCATTATAATTAACAACTAATGACTTAATTTCCAGCATTTAATTAAGTTGAATTTAAATACCTCACTTTTCAAACTCAAGAAGACATTTAGAAGGATAAAAACTGCATGTTGTAAGATAACTATTATGGAAGTTTACATGATCTTGGTAAGTTCTATCTGAAAAGCAAGCTGAATGCTATTTTTGAAGCTAGTCTTCTGTTCTTGGGTCATAGAATCATAGAATGCYKAAGGTTGGAAGGGACCTCAGAGGTCATCGAGTCCAACCCCCCTGCTCATGCAGGGTCACCTAGAGCACGTGGCACAGGGTTGCATCCAAGCGGCTTTTAAAGATCTCCAAAGAAGGAGACTCCACAACCTCTCTGGGCAGCCTGTTCCAGTGCTTTGTCACCCTCACAGTGAAGAAATGCTTCCTTAAGTTCCTGTGGAACTTCCGATGCTTCAGTTTGAAGCCATTTCCTCTAGTCCTATCCCTGSCCACCACTGAAAAGAGGCCGCCCCCCTCCTCCTCACTGCCTCCCTTGAGGTATTTATACACGCTGATCAGGTCCCCCCTCAGCCTCCTCTTCTCCAGGCTGAACAGGCCCAGCTCKCTCAGCCTTTGCTCATAKGGYAGATGTTCCAGGCCYCTGATCATCCTCGTAGCCCTGCGCTGGACTCTCTCCAGCAGCTCCACATCMCTCTTGTMCTGGGGAGCCCAGAACTGGAYRCAGTACTCCAGATGWGGCCTCACCAGGGCTGAGTAGAGGGGGATGATCACTTCCCTCGACCTGCTGGAGACGCTYTTCTTAATGCACCCCAGGATCCCGTTGGCCTTCTTGGCCACCAGGGCACACTGCTGCCTCATGGTCAACTTGTCGTCCACCATGACACCCAGGTCCCTCTCTGCGGGGCTGCTCTCCAGCAGGTCCACGCCTAATCTGTRCTGGTGTCCAGGGTTATTCCTCCCCAAGTGCAGGACCCTGCACTTGCCCYTGTTGAACCTCATGAGATTTCTCGCYGCCCAGTCCTCCAGTCTGTCCAGGTCCCTCTGGATGGCAGCACAGCCCTCAGGGCTATCAGCTRCTCCWCCCAGTTTGGTATCGTCGGCAAACTTGCTGAGGGAGCACTCCAGCCCTTCRTCCMGGTCGTTAATGAATAAGTTGAACAGGACCGGACCGAGAACTGAYCCCTGGGGGACACCACTAAGTACAGGCCTCCAGCTGGACTCCRCACCATTGACAACCACTCTCTGCACCCTGCCATCGAGCCAATTCCTAATCCACCTCCCTGTCCACACATCTATCCCACACCTTTGGAGCACCTTTGGGTCCTTTTTCTTCTTCTTCTTTTTTTTTTTTTTAGAAAAATCTGGTTTTATTCTTTCCATATATTGCCCTTCTGAAAATGAATTGCAGAGCTTGTGTTGCTTTTCCTCCTCCACTCCAGATCTGTCAAAAGACGATTGTGACCAACAGAATGTTTGGCTCTGTAACTAGTGGAGTCAATCTTTGGGCTGAGGAAAGCCAGGTTAAATACTAAAGAAAGTAAAGTTTGTTTAGAAGTTAGTTACCAAACATGGATAATATATTGACTTCTACTCTGAAAGAACCTCAAATATTTAATAGGACCTTTCTGTAGGTCCTGTTCCTCTATAGCAAGAGTCTGGTCTGGCCAGATCACACAACAGCATGAGAACTGGTGAGCGTCTTTCAGTGGTTGCTTTTTCCTGGCATTAAGAATTTAACTTTCATAGTTTAAAACTGAAAAGTCCATCATAATCACCAGATTTTTGAATAAAGATCCTTTTTGGGAGTGAGAATGATACATATGAGATTGTTWCTTAATTACGAAATGAAGTAAGACGTAAGAAGGCAAGAAAACGGCAAGGTAGCTTTAAGCCCACACCCAGTGTTTTTATTTATGTTTTAGTAGGCTTTTAGATTACTAGCTGTCGTGCAAGAAATGGCCCAAGAGGGGTAGAATTAACTGAAGTTAATCAGTTACAGGGCAGCAGGGACAGAGTTTCGTGCTGATACAAATCTCYGCAGTGCTCCGGCAGGCTCTGCGGCCGTCCTGACTTACAGCGGTGGAAACCGGCCTCGTACCCTGCAACCTCAAGCCTACAGGCGGCCTGTCGTGCTCTCGCGCTCCCYGTTCCGCGCCTCCTCCTGCTGCTCTCCCACATGAGCAGGGCCACCGCTGCCAGCCCGCTGGGCCCGGCCGGGCCGCTCTCCCTCCACGGCCCCGGTGTCAGCGCCCTCCAGGCAGGCCGCGGAGCGGGAGCTGGAGGCAGCGGCCATGCCGAGGGGGGGCCGCCGCTGGGTTTCATGCTTGGCCGGCGCTTTGTTGCCCCTGAATGCTCTGCCCCGGGARCCTTTGTGGAGAGGGCGGGCACCGCGGTGGGATTGAGGCGCAAGGCGATTGCTGCTCCATGCGTGGACAGAGCATGACCAGTTTGGCTGCAGCCACTCACGGCCGGGGTTGTCCCTTACATCACTGTCAGCCCATGGCTAAGCCAGACACAGGCAAACAGGCTCTCGTTGTTTTTCCCCTTTTAACGGCAAAGAAGAAAGCCTGGGAAAAGAGCAGAGATCCCAGGCCTTCCTTGAGAACAGCTGAATATTGTCTGCATGGTAATGAAGGGGAGAGAACAACACAACCCACACAACCTTTCTTCCCCCCTAGGACGGCGCTCACAAAAGCGGAGCGCCTAATCCAAAGGCCTGTGGCAGAAGAGCAAGGCATGGGGAGGAAATGCCCTGCAGTCCCACAGCGCTTGGGCACAATTTAGCAGCAGCCAAAACGTGCTGAGGTTCCTGGGAATGCCAGGCAGCCAAAGGGTTTATTGTTTCTGACTTTCATGGCAATGGCCTTGAAACTGATTTGGGGAGTTTGCAGCAATATAGTAATACAGTAGCAGAATCCCTGTTTAAAAATGTGATGGTAGCACACACTGTGTATTTGTAACAGCCCTTTCCCATCCTGTCAACAAGCTGAAGATGGGCACATGCATGTTGTTCATCCTTCTTTTTGTAGATTCCCAATATTACGTAAGAGAAAGTTATACTTTGTTCTCTTTTGAAACCTCCAAAGGAGTGTGATTTTTCTGTTTTTGATAATATTCTGGGCTGTTGCTTCTTTCAAAAGTTCATAAAAGGAGTGTGGGAAAAAAAATGAAGAGTTTGTATCTATTTGGGATACCATGAGCCCTGGGGCCATTTCTCTCTGCTGGCAGACTAGTTCTTATTTGTCCAGCTCCTGTGAAATATCCACACTCACAAACACCTMTTGGCGCCAGAATTACTGTCCCTATGGAGGAATGTAGTTGTTGCGAGAGAATGAGCATTGAGCAAGAAAAGAGTTTCATGAGCAACTGTCTATGCTATATTGTGTYTATGCTATGCAGGCACATCTACCTGTATTGTGTTTGCTTTTCTCTGGAAGCCAGGGCTGAACACAGCTGTGGGGCAATGGGCTCATGGTAGGCTTGTGCTGTTTGAGTTATTCAGCAGCACCTCCGCTTAKCTGGAGCCTCCTTGGACTAGCAGGTGTTTTACCAATTCCTGACTTAGCTGCCAAGTTCCATTCCTTCTTCATGTGATGTTCTTTCTAAGATGTCATGTGGACGGATCTCATCTGTGTGACTAGCACCTACTCCCCTATGCTGAAGCTTGAATGTTACTGTCATGGAATTGTGCCGCAGATAATGGAAACATGTGCCTGGGAATTCACATATTATGCTATACACCTCTGAGAACTACCAGGAAACCTTCATTTAATTGCAGCTGTTCTTCTTTATCGCCAGTCTCTTTSGACCTTACGTTTCTGCGACAACGTTGCCATACAAATTAAATGTCTTTACTTTTCTCAATGTTCAGCTTCTATTTTATTTATAGAAAGCAATCCATACTTCCTGGGTTTGTCTTGGATACATTCAGAAAGCTAAGCTCTTCCTAAAGCATCAATTAATGTAGTCCTTGTGTAGCCTAGGCATTTGGTTTTTAGGGAGAAGAGTTTAGATGTACATCCAGATCAGGCTTAAGGGCAAAGTATATATGTGTTCATGGCATACGTCAGATCCAGCAGCTGAAGTGTTTTGGAGCTTGTTAGCGGTCTGCCTCTGATCTGCTCCACTTTTATCTCATCTTTGTGATCAGGACTAGCCAGAACTATGGATAATGTCATATCAATGCCTTGCACAATGGCACTCTGGCTTCTCTGTCTATTATGTGTCACCTTGTGTGCCCTAAAGCTAACAGGCACAGCATGCCATTGCATCATACCTGTGCTGTGATTGACTAACACTCCCAGGTTTTCGCTTTCGTTTCATATGATGTAGCATGAAAGATATTGCAAGAAGAAGTCACCAGAGAAATACAGAACTTTGACAGCTRCATAATATCCATTCATAAAGCTTTCTGGGTCTCTGCAGCGATATAATCTTCCACTAATGCGTGATATCTGATTATAGCCTGCATCAATACGAATGTTATCACTGGGTACAAAATCATCCGAWACTTAAAATATATATATATATATGTTGCTATAACTAACACAAAGTCTCCATTCAGATGTGCCTTTGCAAAGAAGGACCTSAGCGTGTGCTCTCAGTTGTGATAGTTTACCTCTGACAGGCAGAAAATGGCAAGAATTGTTTCAGCATCTTAAGGCATTGTGAGCTTGATATTAATTAATTAATTATGTAGATGGCTCTGTGCATTGTTCATTTTTGTCAACAAAACACATTCCCCTTGCACATGAAAAGGAATTGTTGCCTTCT